TTTTTTTTTTTTTTTTTTTTTTAAACGGTGCATAATAAATACAATATATTTTTTAAAAAAATTATCTTTTTTCTTTATATTCTATATTTAACAGTATATAAATACATAAAAAAAAAAAAAATGTGAATTTCTTAAAAAATAAAGTTAATTAATAATAATATGAAGACACTTAAAAAAATAATAATAATATTATAAGATAATAATATAGGATAGAATTTCAGAATTGTATTTTCAGCACTTATAATAAAATTTTATACTTTTAAAAACAATAATTATATAATGAATATATATTTTTCAAAAAAAAAAAGAAAAAAAAAAAAAAAAAATACTAATTAAATAGGAATATTTTTAAAGTAAATTAAATCAAATTTATAATAATATATATATATATATAAACATACATTTAAAAAGATGAACTTGCATATAATAGAACATACATATATTTTACAAATGTAACATTTAATTAAACTAAAAAAAAAAAAAAAAAAAAAACATACAAAAAGTGATTAAATAAAACTAAATAAATTATATTAAAACAAAATAAATAAAAATATTGAATATACTATAAAATTTAAGAATTTTAATAAAAATATGTTAGTATCTTAAATTTTATTTTTTCGATTATTAAAAATATTTCATTGAATTTATTTATTTTTAACGATTATTAATTAAAAAAGCTAAAAAAAATAAAGGTAAAAAATTTACCTATGCGAACCTAAAAAAGAAATAAATAATAGTAAAATAATTTAGATAATTTGAAATTTTATAGGAAATTTTAATTTTTATAAAATATATTATTTTAATGTGTATGTAAAATAATTTTTTAAAATATATAAAATTAACAATAACAAAAAAAAAAAAAAAAAGGTTTTTTTTTTTTTTTAAATGAAGAAATTACATTTTTATTTGTACAGAAGATGATAAAGCTAGATATTTGTATGAATATGATTCTTTAGTAATTATTGATAATGCCACTTGGATTAGTTTTAGTTGCTGTAAAAATTTATACATACATATATATAAATATGTGTATATATATATATATGTATATATATATATATGAGTAACTTTTTGTTATTTGTATGTTTTCTTTTTATTACCCCAATAAAGTCTTCAAAAGATAATCCTGTTTGAACTTTTATGTTAAATGCTTTTTTAATTATATTTTTATTACTTGATTGCAATTCCTATAGTAAAAAATGGGAAAAATATTTAATTGTTTTAGTTGATTTATGAAAATTTGTATATATTCAAGTAATATGAACAGTTTTCGTTTTTGTATTACATATGTTGCAACTTCTTCAAATTCAGTATCTCCCAATGAGATAAAATCTATTTTATTAGTAATATATTGATAATAAAAAGCCCAGTGTTCTTTTAGTATTTCATCAAACTTTTTCTTCTACATAAATAATAAAACAGTATCATGTTAAAAAAATAAATGAAAATAGTGAAAAAAAAAAAAAAGAAATTTAAAAGTATAATTATAGAAATAATGCATTTATTTCTTTATATCATTCTAAATAATTATTTATTTTAAAAAAATATAAAAAATTATTTTTGTTTATATGAACTCATTACTTTAGCATTCATCCAATAACGGAAATATTCAAAAACATTTAAAGGAGAAGGTTCCATATATTGTTCAGTTCTTATGATAGGAATATTATGTTCATCAAGTAATTTAGAAAAGTTAGGAAATAACCATTTTACTGTATCTATCCATTTATCACTTCTTGCATTTGTAACTATAAATATAGTATGTGACATAGATTTCGCTAAATGAATTACTGAACAAGCAGTAGATTCAAAATTATATTTTTTATTTAATTTTATTTCTTTTTTAAGTTCTCTTAGAGCTTCATCTTGATTAAGGTGGCATTTTGAAAATAGCACAGATCTTATCCAATAAGTAGGAATTAGAGTATCATCTAAATCAAAAATTATAACTCTTCCACACTTTTCTAAATATATTTTACATAATGAATTATTAATATTATTTTTAAAATACTGTGGAATATAATTGTTTTTAGGAATTATTGGCTCACATAAAATTCTCCCATTACTTTGAATGTCACTTTTATTAAATATTTTAAAATTTTTGTTTTTACTGTAATCGTTAGTATTATTCATATTATTAAAACATTTTACATAAAAATATTTTGAATCTATTTTTGGTTCCATATCAAACGGAATACTAAAAGTTTTATTTTTCTGCAACTTTAACTGGGAATTGTTATTTAAAATTATATTATTATTAATGTGTGGATAGGATAAATTTTTCATAGGATAATTTGCTTTTATATTTAAAAATGGATTCATCTTATATTTAGGTTCTACATTTTTTGTACAAAAGTTCTGGTTTGTGTACAATGATGCATTTGCATTTGGCAAATTCATGATTACTCTATTAAATTTTACTTCAAAAAATATATACACATTATATATTTGCTATAATTTATGTAAAATAAAGAAATATGCACAAAAATATTATAAAAAAATATACTATAGTCTAATGAATAGAAATATATTTATTAAGTTATTAAAAAAATATATTACTTTATATAATATATATATTAATATTTCTATTTTAATTAAAACAAAAGAGAAATCAAATAAATATTTTATATTTTCAAGTTTTTTTGTTCTTCCTTTCTTTTTACATTTTATATTTTTCCATATTTTTTTTTTTTTTTTTTTTTTTTTTTTTCATTTACATTTTTTTTTTTTTTAAAAATTTAAAATTAAATAATTCATAAAATTTCCTTAAGAATATTAATAAGATTTTTTCTCAACATGATACTTTTGCGTATGTAATATAAGTGTAAAAAAATATATCCTTATAAAATTTCTATAAAGAGAAAAAAAATATAATATTAAGATGTATATTTTTTGATATAATAAAGTAAAATACTTAAAGATATTTTAATAATATATATATAAAAACATGCATATAAACACAAATAAGTTCATTAATTGTTATATTTCTTTAATAAAGGAAAAAATATAACTTAAAAGGCTTGATTATATTAAAAATTTTTTATTTAAATTTATGTAACATATATTATATATATATATATACATAGCTAAAATATTATATAAAATAACAAATTTTTATAAGAACAACGACCTTTTTATATATTTATGAGAATTTGTCTAATCATATATTTATTTATTTATATGTCGTATTCATAAATTTCTTAAAGATTTTTTCTTTTCTTTTTTTTTTCATGCGTAAAAGTGCACACATATCATTCAAGGAGAGAGGAAAATAAAAAAAGCTACAAGTAGCTATGTTCCAAAGCTGTAAATTAAATTTTTTTTTTTTTTTTTTTTTTGTTCATAAAATTTTTTAAAATTAGAAGCAATTCTTAATATATATAATCATTACTTTTATATATTTTTGCACATGCAATATATTATAGATTCATTTAAAAAATTGTATTTAAGAAAAAAAGGGAGGAATAATATAAATTCCAAATGGTAGGATTTCTAAACTTACAAAAAAGTATAATAAAGTATATTAAAATGATAGGAAAAAAAATAATAAAATGTGATAAATAAATAAAAAGACAAAAGTAAAAATAAACATAATAAAATTATTATGGTTGAATTGTTTTGTTGAATATAAGGACATTCAATAATATAATATTAAAAAAAAATTTTTTTTATATATTATTTTTACCCTTTTCATTGTTTAAAAAAGTTCGTCTTTATTTATATATAAGAATTAAATGTAAAAAACAATTAAATTGTCAAAACAGAACAATAAAAAAAATTAAGATATATTGAACACAATATATTTTTTAAACATGTAAAATATATAAATACCTTTTTTTTTTTTACTTTTTCTCTTATCCATTCAAGAAAACACAAAAAAAAAAAAAAAAAAAAAAAAAAAATTTA